TCAGTTCCAATTTTTAGATCTTTGATGTAAAAGGTCAATTACTCCATTATTCCAAGCTACACGTTTCCCATTCTATTCCCCAACATCTTGGTACAATGTGGATTTTTCTTCAAACTTGAAATCGTTTAGTAATTGATTTATAGTTTTTATAGTTGATTACCGATAGGTCCGAAGTAAGTTCTTGCAATAATTGAAAATCAGAAAAAGAAACGCTTTAGTCATTAGGTCAGATGGTGGTAATCCGTTGTAGTGGAATGATTCTATCATTTTCTACCATGGACGGGAAGCAACTTTATATTGCCATGACGAAAACCGTTATAGCGTATTTCGACTTTTTAGTCGCAGTAAATAGAATTTATTTTAAGTTCATAAGAAACTTTGCTTCGAGACATCGTGCATTAGTGTATGCTTGACATATATATAATTTGTTAATTACTTCGCTGTTTTTTACGGTACGTAATGAAAATTTCACTCATTTCTACTCGTGTCACCGGACAATAGTATTTTTTTAGTTATAACTTATTAATAGCATTTTTTTTATTTATTTATTTATTTATTTTTTTTTTTTGTAGCCTAACAACAATTTATTAGTGTCATGCTCTTTTTTTTTTTTATTGTTTTTAGATTGTAAAGATCTTAAATTATGTGAAAATTTGCGCTTAAGCTTTAAATAAAAATTTATCACATGTGCCAACAGTTTTACTAATAATTATATTTTGTTAACGAATTAACACTAAATGAAAATGAATGAGAAATTTATACTCACTTAAGGGGAATTATTAGATGCCTAGCACTCTAATAAATTAAAAAAAATGGGAAATTGTGAAAGCGTGCCAGTTTCCCAATTAAGACCCTCTTTTTTGCGTCAATTTAAATCAGCTCTTGTGCTCTCTTGAGGGCTTGTCGCTATTTTCATTTACTGTAAGTGTATCTTCAAAAAACTAAATTTCAAGTCTCCTTCCGATTTATTACGCCGATAATGCAATGACAAAAAAATCGATCGACCATGTGCTACGAGTTCGGTTTAAGATCTTATGCTAATTCTCTATCTAGATATAGACTTTGATATCCTGTATACCCTTAGATCCGCACTTTTGACTATTACAGCTTAAATCAAAACACAGATGTGTTTTGAACTAGAATATCACATCTAATTCCCTTTTTACACGATATATACATTTCCAAAAAATTCGTGTAAAAAAAGATACTGGCTAAATGAAAAAATAGTAGATTGGTTCTAGACTAGTACAAAAAACAATATGAAAAAATTCTTGTTAGGACTCACTTAAGAAGCTCTTTCGCGCTTACAGATTTTAATTCATTAAATTATTAATAAAAAATAAATTATAAAAAATAAATTATGCTTTCAAAAATTAAATTATTGTTATTAATTTAGCCAGAGAGTAAATTCTAACACTAAAAGTCTTAAAGCACTAGCATCTAAGGCTTTCGACTTTTATTAAAAACTCTACCGCACTTGAGATTTGAACTCACGACCATTGAGGACCAAATTAAATTGCTAAAAAAATACATCACATCCTTACTCTATACATAATTCGGGAAATTCCACTCATATACGTTCCACTCATATAATCCACATAGTCTAAATGAATTGTGAAGAGTAGAATGCGAATTTACAACGCATATTTGTGAGGAGTGAGAAAAAAAAATTCGTGAAAACATAAAAGAAACAAAAGTTCATAGAATATTCAAAGTCGTGTTAAAACAAAACAATTCGTATAAAAACAGAATTTTTTTCTCTGTAACTTAAGCTTTAATGCCCCCAACAGCTTCTCTCCAATGCACTTTTTAAGTCGTTTTGGCGAAATATGGCACACTGACTTGCTTTGACCGAGAGGCGAAGTACATTGAAACCGAATTAGAAGGCTAGGCCTAGAACGTCTTATTTCAAAACTCTTTGCTCTCTTTGGAATTCGAAATTCTTGTGAAAATTTTGATTTGAATGAGGCAATTTTTGGATTTCTATCCCATACAATCGCTCCTACGAAAAGTGAAACTTCTTAAGGTAATAAAAAGGTCTACTTTTCAATATTTCATTATGAAAATTGATCCAACATACTGATTGGACGTAGAAGATAACCTTAATACATTTGGACTATTTTTTTTTTTGGGTCTCATTCTCATGAATAGTAAGTAATGCATAATTTGTACCTTTTTATGACGAAAATATGTGAAGAACTATCAAATCTTTACAGAAAAAAATAAAGTCCGCGTCAGTCGTTGGGTTGGACGCTCTCGAATATAAGGGTTATCATGCAAATTATGACGTTACATCGAACTTTTGGAAAATGAATGAAATGAATGAAGAGCTGTATTAGACGAAGTGATGTAGGGCGTTCAATGGCCGCCCCTGCCCGTCTATAACATTTTTACTTGTTTAAGTATCATGTTTTTAATCGATCGAGAAATATTAGATCACATAAAAAGTCTCTGCGGTTTTTTCCAAGGGATGGTGTTAATGCCTACACATCGGGCAACACTCGCCTGATTGTCTCAAATGAACGTGTGCTTAAAAGGTGACACTTAAAGAGAAATTATATTGATTTGAAAATAAGTGAAATATCTGAAGATAAAAAGAAAAATAGTCAAGTGTAGGATGAGAATTCTGTAATGAACAGAGGACCCAGGAGTGGTTTGCTTGATTCCGTTCCGGAATTTTAATGTCAAAGATGCACCTCACTCTGGTGTCGAAGAGCCGATGAAATATTGCAACTCGTGCAGCAAGACCGACACACAAGCTATCAATTTGAAATCATTTAAAAAAAGCAGCCTACAAAAGAAGCTGACAACCGCGGAGACTTTTTATATGACCCATTATACTTTCAAATTTTCAAGTTTCTGCAAAAGTGGGAATTGAAGGGTTATTTAGAGAGCGTTAGCAAGATATCGTTCCTTCTAGAGTTAACAATCGAGATTGTGGTAATGAGAAAATTAAAGCAAATCAAATTTTGATAATGCTTTCGTTGCTATGTACGATCCATGAGACAATAAAACGTTTGCTATTAATAAATCTATGATATCGAATTAATTAAGAACAAATTAACATAAATTTCTAAAAGTTTTCCTAAAGGCATTTGTGAGTTCATTACAATACACCAAAATAGTAACTAAATTACTGAATACATTTTTTTTTTTTAATAAACAAAAAAAGTGAAAAAATTAGCATTAATTCGAAGGTACTATAAACAGTAAAATAGACAATAATTTTTATTTATGCATTTTTCGGAGAGGTAAAAATGAAGATAAAAAAAAAAAAAGTTGAATACACTGCAAAATTTTTAAAAAAATTTAATTAGTCCTCAGCGCTGAACTCTCTAAGCTAAAGTAGCAGAAAATTTATTTTCAACTATTACCTAAATTATGACAATTTTTGTTTTTTTTTAATCAATAAACTGAATATGATTTTAGATTAAACCTAAGACTACATTTTATAATTTTCACTAAATTCGAGACAAGATGAGGAAATTATTTTCAGATGTTGCGTGGCAAGGGGAAAAAAGTTTGACCAACTAAGGATATGTTAGGAATGTGCCTGGGGTCAGGTACTTTCTACAAGAAAATGGTCACCCCCCAGGTTACATGCCGAGAAGTAATTTTTCAAACTTAGTTTAAATAGTGACGCTCAAGTAACTTGCTCTGCTTTCTCAGCATTTCGTCCGTGAAGTGTTGATATAAGATCAGCATTTTTCCACTGTTATATCCAATGCTATATCTCGCAGGAAAGACGTTCCTTCGGTTAATACAATAAATGAGTATCCTAGTTCAGGTGATTCTTGATGCCCACCGGGTTGCAATATCCGTGGGGCATACCACAATTCATTGCAGGTGTAGTGAATGCTTAGTGAATAAAGGTACTTACTTATAATGGGGCCCACAAACTTCTCGATAATATTCTTACTTGTTTTTATTTATGCTTGGCTTGTCTTGTTTGGCTAAACTAAATCATCTTGGAGCGATTTCTACACTTAGTGTCGGGTCTGATCCCTCTGAGATATGTGTTCTTGTATGTGAAAAGAAAAATGCGAAACACACGAAAATTGATGAAATTTATACAAGCTGTATAAATATTTATAACAGCATCCTTTCACGCCCATTTCACAGGGACATTAAAGCAGACATATGTTGTAGTTTCACGGTAGATAATTTTTATTAAATTTTCTCTTATAACGTTTGCACCTACTAAACCTTGATTAATTCTTTGTTTTCTACAATAATTATTGTTTCTTTTTATTGTACAAGTGAAAAATTTTTTCCTAAAGCATTGACGGGAGATAAGTGATAGCAATTTGGAAATTTATTTATAATTGTAGGCGTAATCACTTTAACCCTAACCTCTCGCGTATGGTCACTTCCTACATCCTTTTCTTCTTCCCATTCTTTCTGACCGTCACTGAGTTATTTGCAGAGAAGTTATCACCTAAGTGATTGGTCATTTAAAAAAAGAGACAAAAAAAAAGTTGGTTCCGGATTTTGCATAAATCCGCATGGTACCCTTGCTTACCAAAAATGGCTTACACCTGTATGATGTAATTTAAACTTTTCCTAGGCGCAATTAGACACTTCCCGATCGATCGGCTGCCATCTGCATGTGCGTATTGTTAATTTTGTTTCATATAATTCTCATTTAGTTTATAAAGTTTATCATATAAGACATGATATGGAATAAAAAAATTTCATTTATTTATTTATTTATTTAATTGTTGTTAGAATTTCTCTGACTGCAATGATGTTCAAATAGAATAGGAAATGAAATGACAAAAACAGCAATAACGGTGAGAACACAATAATATTTTTCTAATATTTAATACAATTTTCATTATTGTTATATATTGTGCAAAAACAACAATAAGAAAAAGCATACATTTTTATATATATGTATATGCTTCATATTTAATTATAATTTCTAAATAATAACGTGATGAAAATGAATTAAGAAAAATATATATATAGTTATATATATATATATATATATATGTAATATACGTACAAAAACAATAAATTAATAAATATGAACATTAAAGATGATCATGATAGGAATAGGAACAGATAGGATCAGTCGGAAAAAAAAATCCAATTAATATTATAGAATGAAATGAATTTTTGTTCAGTCAACAATGAAATTCAGTTAAATTTTAAACGTTGGCGTGTAAAGAGAGACGTTTCGCTCAAAAACTATAGAAAAAAAAAAAAAAAATCCAAATAAAATGAAAAATTCTATAATAATTGTTGCTGCAATCGTTGACTTATTCAAGATACTCCTGATAATAGTAACGCTAATTGCCAAGGTCATGTCCGCCGATGATAGCGATGCTGCTGGTAGCATTGAAAATCATTCATACGATAGCGGCAAAGATGGCGGCGAAGAGCCGGAGGAATGGCAAGCACGCAATTTGCAGGAAGAACGTGTATCCTTAGATGAAAGATGCCTGATAAATAAATGTTACAATTACGATTTCGAGAGCGCCGATGTGGTGGCGTTTTTCGAAAATAAACCAACAATACGCTTCATAAATGGCAACACTTACGATATTCGAGAGGCGAAAAATTATAGCAGTTTGATTTTTTTGCATTCGAAATTTTACAATTTCCCTTTAAATCTATTTTATGCGAGCAAAGTGGAAGAGCTCGATATGCGAAATTGTTCGGTGACTGATATAACGTGGGAGAATTTCCTTATGGCCGATAATTTAAGCATACTATTATTATCGGAAAATCATTTAACTGATATTAAATCGATGACTTTCACTTATGCTCCGAATTTGAGTTTTCTATTTTTGGATAGAAATTCGATTAGTCGATTACGCGGCGATAGCTTCAAGGGTTTAAATAAACTTACTTATCTGGATTTACATGATAACCGTTTAGAAGATTTACCATCAGATGTGTTTTCCTATTTACCGGCTTTACAGCAATTGAATTTGGCTGATAATATCTTACGCCATATAGGCAATGAACTATTTGAAAGGAATGGACGTTTGAACAGCGTGATTATGGCAAACAATTTATTAGAGTCATTAGGCGAATACGCTTTCACCAATCAACCGCATTTAAAAGTCTTAGATATCTCTCATAATAAGCCTTTAAGATATTTGGTAGGCAATATGCGAGTAGAGCATCTTTGGGCTCGTAATTGTTCACTAACGCGGGTGAATATCTATGGCGAGGCGATTAATGTCAATTTGCAACAAAATCACATAATGGAATTGTATTTTACGCAACCCGAGTCCTTGGAAACGTTAAATTTACGAGCGAATTCTCTGCAGCAGATAGCCTCGTTAACGCAAGTAGTGAATCTACGCACTTTAGATATATCGCATAATCCGCAATTGGAAGCGGTGCCTGATATATGGCAGGTCGATTCATTGGAACGTTTGGATCTTAGCAATACCAGTTTACAGCAATTACCTCTACTCGCCTTGGCCACTTCACGGCACTTACAATCGCTTAATATTTCATCGAATCTCTTCGAAGAAATTGATCCGGCCAATTTCCATTCTCTTCAGCAGCTAACAAGCTTTTATATACACAATAACAATTGGAATTGTTATAATTTACGCTTGCTAATGGATTTATTAATTAAGCCTTTTCAAATTGTTTATACGCGCGATGATCCTGACGATGAATTTCCCGGTATTTATATCGATGGTATTAAGTGCATGTACCGGTTACCCGAAATGAGTGAAGAGAGAGAATTTTTTGCTCAATTAAAACGCAGTCCATTATCGGAAATCGATATTAATAATAATAGTGACGATGATCCGACGAATAATGTCGAAGAATTAAGAAGCGAACTTAAAGCAATTGTAGGAATATATGAGCAGAAATTCGCTAAAGTTATAGCCAAATTGGAAGACTTGGAGTCACGTTTATTGCCTTTCGAAATTGCTAATAAAACAATCTGGCAACACATTACTGTAACTGTTTAGTTAGTTATTACATACTGTTTGTTCTCTTGTTATTGTTATTGTTTTAATAAATTTTCCTTTTTTTATAAATAGAACCATTATTGTGACTTGCTTTGTTGTATTCGAGTCCTTTTGTAAGTAACCATCGAAAGCGAAAGTGCATTCAGCCCTCGAGACGGACATGTCATTTTCAATCATGATCAAGAGGGACGTTTCAGAAGATAATTTCGAGTAAAGACACTTTACAACTTTTTTAATAGGGCTGCATATGCAACCCCCTAGCAGAGCTCTGCTATGTAGTCATGACCGATATATGGTTGGATTGGGAAGCATACTCCGTCCAAATTATGGAAAGTGAGATACTTCTGTTTGTTTAGATGGTTTAAAAGGTATTTTCATCTACATTCCGGTGACGATGGAATTTTCTGCTTTCTCCTCACTAGAGTCTCAAATTGGACCATTTTTCCATGGTCGGTTTTTGCTTACGTACCAAATTTTAAAAATTTGGCAAAAATGCAGTTCAATCTTTTTTTGTGCGATCTTTTTTTGTGTGGTCTTTTTTGGGCACTATATGAAATTGGAACATAATTTATGAAGTCATCAATAAAAACAACGGGTAGGTTTAATTGTTCATCTAGTTTTTTCGATATTTAATATGTATTTCATCACTTTACATAAGTATTGTGTCAGCCAACTACATTACATATATATAGAATTCTATAATTGGCGAGATTCCATGTAGCTGCTAAGCTGATCAGCGTTTTGATTGCGTTTAAAAAAGCAATTTCTAGGTATTCCGTAGGGTTGTGGGTTATTATGTACGTGAGACGTTTTCTTTTATGCGATCTCTATCCAGCGCACAAAAACAAGTTTGAATGTATTTCCGAAAACGAGAATTTAAAGTTGTTTGAAAGATAATGTGATATAGATTCATGAGGTGTTCAGGAAATTATTCTACGTTTCTTAGTTTGGGCAATACATGCCTGTAAATCCAAATTGTAGCTATGTTAGGGCGGTTACGAACTCCCTTAACAGACTTGCTCTGTGTTTGCTAGTTAAATGCGGGCTTATCTTCATATCCTTGCATATCAGTTCTTTGATATGATTCGGAATTAATTTTTGAATCCACTTTCCATATGCGTTTAAGAGGCAAGCTGAGCATGATTGGAATTGAAACAGACAGAACAAAGAGCTTAAAGAAGAAAAGCTCCTAACTATGAAGCTTCTCTTCATTGGAAAGTCGCTTTCGAAAGCAGGTTTACTGTTTTCAGTCTTTTAAGATTAGACTTAGATAATTTTGCTCCACCACCGAACTTCACAGATACTTTAGAATGTATGAAGCAAGTAAAAAAATTATATTCGGCTGTGACCAGTGTTTATACCCGTTACACCGTTATCCTAGAAAAGACTAAAAAAAAAAAAGGAACAAATTGCCCTTGGGCGTGGCTGCTTTCTTCTATTTTTGCAAAACAAAAGCGGAAATTTGTACCGTATATCTGTTGTAATATGCATAAGCAAAGAACTAAAGAAAAAATGTGCTTTCAGTTTTTGGTGCATTGAAGGTGTGACCTTTGACCACCACCACTTTGGGTCATTTGCAAGTTTTTTTGCAAATTAGTAAAAGATATCCTCATCTTTGAAGACCGGTGTTGTTTAGCTCAGATACCACTCCGTTAGACAAGTGGGCAGACGGAGAGACATACGTGTATGTCTTTATGAGGCTTTTTGAGTTTGTATTTGGGCGTTATAAAGGTTTTCGATAAAAAAGAAAGACGATTTACTAAACTCGTATATTGGGTGGGCGTGGCCGATGTTTTTCGTTTTTGCATAGGTACTATAGCATCGCTTGTAGAATATACGTGGACCCTTTTATCTGACGAAAAAACAATTTCTTGGATTCGAGAAGGCGGCAAATAAAATTCCTCGATGGGGCCATGACTATATGTCCGTTCTTTGGAAGTGTGATTACGTTCGTTGAAACTTAGTCTAGAGAAGAAAGAGAAGCTTAGTTTCATAGCTTTCCTCATTACTCGCTAGATGAGATTTAATCTTTACTGGTGGCCAAGTAATACTGACTCTGCTTGTATTTTTTTGCTGTGAACATATGGAACTCGCTTGTCGTTGACGTTATAAACTTTTGGTGAATTATTTTGCAAAATCTTTCACAAACGTGTTTTGCCAATATTTCCAAGTTTAACAATCAATTATTTGAAGTTCAATTTATCTCTCAGCATATTTCATAACATACCGTACATGACAAGGTGTGTTCCTCCTAATATGATTTTTTTCTTTTTCAATTTTGTTATTAATAATCAAAGAATAATGCCACGAGGTTTAAGATAACTCATAAATATTTCCATTCTCTGCAATTACTTCTTATTATTAGTTACCGACGTTAAATGATTTTTTTTTTCTTTTTCTTAAGTGTAAATTGTCTAAGGTAATTATAATCGTTTAAGAAGCGAGTAAAAGAGAAGAAGGACAGTTAGATAAATGAATTGCAAATAAAATTAAAAAAAAAAAAAAAAAAAAATTCAACATTGCAATCATAAAATTAATCAGATAAAATTTTTACTCATACATATACATATATAGTTAGTCAGAATGTTGTTGCTATATAGTTGTCGCTAGGTTTTCCTTCTTTTTCTTCGATGTTACAGACAAACGTTGCAGGAAAAAAACCCAACAGACACATTGGCACCAGAGTAAAATAATTGTTCAGTTGGTATCTCTTTTAAGTAAACGAAGCTATATTTAGACTAGAAATGCAAATAAGAAGATAAAGAAAATATTTTTTTTTTTTTTTTTTTTCAATCACAGTTGAATTTTTGGTCTTCTTCGCTTAACGTACGTGCGATTCATGTTTGATGTGAATTCTTTTGTGTCTCTTTTCTCATTTTCATGCCCTACGCTGCTTATGATATATGGTATACTGGGTATAGTAAGTTTGTGCGGGTGCACGTAACACCCAGAAAAGCTTAAGATAGACCTGCTCGTCTGTCCGTCTGCTGTCTGTCCATGTATGCGTCTACGTGTTTAATCTATAAGTCGCATTTGTTGAGATATTTTAATGAAATGAAAGAAATAGTGGAAACGGAGTGAACGGATCGGTCCCTCTTTCCGATCACTTGCGACCTGTAGTTTGAAAGCAAGAAAAGAGGATAGACGAACGTATGGGAAAATTTAAGTCGATTCAGCAAATGATTCTGGGTCGGTCGTGTTAGTATAAAAATGGATCTATCCCAAGCCTTTCTGTGTGTTCCATACATCCACACTTGTACCACAAATGGTGTAGGGCATAACAAAAAAATTTTTATGTGAACATATCTGAACTTTTATTATTCGTTGTATAAAAACTAAAAAATTATCAATTAGTTTATGTTATAAGCTTTAAAATCCAAATACGAAGAAATCATGTCTTCATCGTAAAGACAAAATTTATAACATAATAAATTGGACTATGGCCGAATCTTTTATTCCCATTACCTTCAAAAGTTCACAAGACTAAAAGCCCAACCAAAAAAAAATATTGTATAGGCGCGAGTGATTTTTCCCATTTCTTTATATATACTATGAAATCATTCATAGAATATACATAAAAATCTGTACTCTGCGACCCGTTCTAAATTGAGGTAAAGCAAAATAAGCAAAAAAATTCAGACAAAGAATTAATGTCTGTTAAAAGCAAAGGCTTCTTTCAAACCTGCCCACAAATTTTTAATCCGATATTCATAATTTCATAACCGACATAGTTATTGACTAATCCCTACCTATTCATCCATGCCTAGATCGATTCAGAATTTGACACTAATCATGATTATATGTACTTTATCGGGTGTCTGAAGCGAAGGTTTTGCAAAAACGAATATATCCTCGTTGTTCGGTAGTGTGTATAGTAAACTTACTGTAAACAAAATTTTTGATATACGTATATTTACTCTAAATAAATATATCTCCCTCTTTCTCTCTCTCTCTCTCTCTCACTTTTTTGTTTACCAATGGCTTGTCGTATCAGGCTGATTTTTAGTGACTGGCAATGCCAGCTTAAAACATCAACAACAAGTTGCAATACGAGATTGCAAGTGAAGAACAAGAGTATCATGATTGATCGACCGACAAAACAACAAGAAATGAGAAGTAACAATTGTTTGGCTATAGTTTTTCAGGGGGTGATTGTAATGAACGCCCGCAATAGGCTTTATCCGCTCAAGCTTCTTATAAAGCAGATCTTAAAGAATATTGAACAAGATTTCATAACATCTCTCGAGAAGCTCAAGGAAAGAAGATCGCCAGACATTTGAGGTCTTAAGTGGGTAAGTGCTAAGTGAATTCACAGTGAACTTAAAATCCTGCGCCTACGAGGCTCCAAACTTGTTGCCATAGAAAGGCTTATTTTGTTGTAAGAACACGCCTTTCGAAGAAAGGAATGGTTCCGATATGCCTAAATTTTGCCCATACCTTTAGTAATTAAAAATTCTGGTAAAAGTTTGATGGACAGACATTGAAAGACCCCGTTGTGTCATCTTCGCTTATGTAATAATCAGAATTGATTGTTCTTGCATCACGTAAGGTTATACTACGTATCCTATTCGGTTTTCTAAGAGCAAAAGTCATGAGCTTAGCATGGTTTGAAGTGTGAAATTTTTACGCTAAGTTCGTCTTGGAAGGTCTATTATTTCGGGTTATTATCACAACCTTAAAATTCCTATGACGATCGCCTTTGAATTGGTGACTTTGTCTTTAAAGCTTACATATAATAGAGATTGTATTCAAGTGACCTTGAAATATTTTCATAATAGATATTCAATCTCAAACTGGTTTCCATTAATGCTGTGATTTTTGCTTCATCGTCATCATCGTCATCGACATTACTTACCCAACAACCTAATATTCTGTACTGCTTTGTGTGATGTTTTTGTTTAGACAACCACGTAATTCGTATAAAATTGAAATGTCAAGGAAATAATGACTTTGTTGTAATAAACAAAATCAAGAGCCAAACAATAGGGTAAAAAACCTGTCAACAACTTTAATACATTAAACCATACTATTGATAGCGGCCGTTACCGTCTCTGCCACCTTTCTAAACCGTTGTATACGGAAGTGAATTTTCTAATTTATAATACATTCGTCGTTCGGACGATGTTTCTCTTTTTTAGTTGTAGGTTACTTGGCAGAAAACTTTAAATTGTTTTTCATATTTTTACATCCTTCACGGATAGATAGATAGGTCAAATTTTCGTAATGCATGGAAATATTGGTCAGAGTTCATATATATCATATTTCTTCTAGATTAGTAGGAATTGGTTTAGCCATGTGCATCATATATTTCTGTCTGTTTACCTTTCTGTTTTTTTTTTTGCCAATGTGGTCATGATCTTAAAACTTTGCCTAGAAAGGGAAGCTTAGATTCAAAGGCTTGTTTATTAACCCCTGTTAGGCGAGGTGAACAAGTCAATAATTTCTTTTGAAATATATAGGAAAAGCTATCAAAAAACTGATAAGTTGGAGCTTTATAAAACTGCTGCTTTCAAGGTGAAGTTGTCCACCAATGTAGAAACAGCTACCGGAAAAGCGATCCGTTAGGATTCTAAAATTGCTGGCTTCGCCCAGGTGTGTATGATGATAAAGTGGATTTTATGATGTTATTCTTAAGAAAATCTCAGAAAGACCAACAATCAGCTAAATCGGACCAAAGCTGTGCCTACTATTAGCATAAAAGCGAATTGGAATTCTCTCTCTCACTTTTACTCTCTTGTTCTTTCTCTCTCTCCTTGTCTGTCACTCCCATTTTCCCCTCTCTCCATGTCTGCTTCTTCCCCTTTGTCTCTTCTCTCCTTCTTCTTCTCTTCCTCAATGTTGTACTCTTTTCCTCTCTATCCTCTTCCTCTCTCTCGTTCTTTCCTCCCTCCTCTTTTACCTCCATCCATCTCTTTTTTTCCTCTGCGGCTCTCTCTCCTTTGCCGGCTCTCTCTCTCTTTCTCACCGTTCCACTTCCCTTCCCCCTCTCTTTCCTTCGGCGCCTTTATTTCTATCTCAATTTTGCTTTTTTGTCGCTCTCTCTCTCTCTCTCTCTCTCTTTTTATATCTCTTGACTCTATCTTGATTTCAATTATCATGCTCATCCTAGGATTAGTAGCGGATATTAATGATGCAGTCTAAGCCGGATATAGTTTCTTTATTGTATTATGTGCTTGTTCATGTTGTTCATGCATCAGTTTATGAGTGTAATATATTCATAGTTACTTGAAAGGCATGTCATAATTATCGTTGTATGTAATATTTGTGACATAAATGTTTCTTGGCATTATATCAAAATAATTTTATTTCAAATAAAGTGCACAACCAATGTTACATTTTCACTTTTCATTGAGATATTTGCAAAAAGGAAAAAAAGCCAAAACAAAAAAAAAAAAGTAAAACACCTGCATGATCTTTGCGGTCAATTAAGTGATTTCAAAAGATATACTCGCTCGCTAAATTCTTAAGAAATTGAGAAAACGAAAAAAAAAGAAAATTAATTTAAAGTAAAATTATTTTTGTCTAGAAAATTAATTTTTCTTAATCATCAATTTTGAGAAAAATTAAAGAAAGAATTGTTAAAATTAATTATTATTTTCTTTTTGTAAACATTTAATATAAAAATCTACGCTGTTCCGCTAATGTTACCAATCAGTAAGAAGCTTTTCTTATTTATATTTTTTTATGGAAAATTATTTTACTTACGGAAATATTGGTTACCAGCTTGCTTAGTCTCTTCGCTTTCTTAACACGTTAGGGAGAGTTTTACGACAAATCGAAATTAAACGTATTTCGTCATAGCGAAACCAATTCGCTATATACATTTGCTGATGATCTATTCGGTTAAGATGAATTTTAAAATTGATTCATTTTACCAAGGTTTTCTTAAAATTCTTTTCCTAATTAAATTTTTTATTGTGTTATTATCTAATCTCAATGGTTCTAATCATAGCCTACTAAAACTAATCTGCTTGATTAGTTGTGTGTGTGTGTTATGATTTAGGGTACTTGATATCAAATCAGTTTTCAATGTTTATTATTATTGTTACGTTTTTGCTTTTTCAATTCGAAACTGTAAGGGAAAGAGGCTTTGTTTGCAATAAATGCATGATGGAGTCGCTTTTTAAACGCTGCGCTTTTTGATGGGAAAATCAGGTCCCTCACAAGAAAACGAATTGAATGTCAACCAAGGAGAAATCCGAGTCAAAGCTTCAGACGGGATAAAAAAGAAAAATGCTTCTTTCGAAAATTGTGCTTTCTCAGGACGCAATAAACACTCCAAAGCATTTGCTGATGGGATATGCTTAAACATGCGTAAAACTTAGGCAGGTAAAAGTGCTATCGGAGATCGGTGGTATCAGACTATCTTTGGCACGATTTTGCAATGAACGAGAGGGAAAATATGTGACTGGCATCCGTTGCATCAGATTTTTTTTTTCACTTTCACTTTCGGGGACAGTCCCAACACGATGACAATAAAGAAGAAGTGAAGGAGAGAAAGAAATGATGAAAGCAGCAAGAGATTGAGAGAGAGGAAAAAAGAGAGATAGGTAGAGAGAGGGAGAGAAGAAGAAAAGAGATAGGTAGAGAGAGAGAGATAGAGGTAAAGAGAGAGAGATAGAGATAGAGATGGAGGAAGTGAAAGAGACGAGGGGAGACAGTGAGAGAGATGGAGGAAGTGAAAGAGAAGGAGAGAGTGAGAGAAATATGGAGAGAGAGAGAGAGAGAGAGAGAGGAAGTGAAAGAGAGAGAGAGATGGAGAGTGGTCGCAGATTTGTGGGTGCGGATGGGCCAACTATGGCCTACCGCAGTTAGATCTGAACGCGTTAACACTAACTTGTTTGGCGGAATTCGATATCTGCTCCACTGAAATGCCTGGGCTTTCAACCTAATCTCATATTCCCGTACTGCGTAGTATGACTGCAGAGGAAACAAACTTCTCTTGCGACAATTAATCTCAGCTTTTCTCTGTTTGCTTCTGGATCATAATTAGGTCGATTGTTGAAAAGGTCGTTTACATCACAAAATTCAGTCTCGCAACTCCTAATTACTTGACGTATAAAAGATTTTTCCAATGCTCTAATGCATTTAATACCACTTATTTACAATAAATTAAATTTACATAATTAATTTATTTATTGTGAAAGCCATAATAACAGCTTCTACGCATCGCCTCCTTGTATTAAATATTTGGAAAAATATATTAATAAATACATTTTTAATTCGTACGATTTCAGTGATAGGCGAAATGTATATAAATTTCTTATTTCTTGCATTATTCATTCATTCATTCATTGACCTTAAAATCTTTCCACCGAATCTGGTCGATTAGTTAGATCCATTTCAGAAATGGGCGGTGACTTTTTACCGTTGGCCGTTCCCGTACCGTTTTCTGTTGGTGTTACCGGTTTCACACTTTCAACTTTATTCTTTTGACCGAATATTGGTGGCATTGCGACTTGCATCGTGTCAAAATTATAGGTACGCATATAACCATAGCCACCTAAACCGATTATTGAAAGTATAATCAAAGTGTAGCGAAAAGCGTTAGTTAGCTTTTTACCCCTGCGATAGAGAAATAATAATCAAAAGAAGAACAAATCAATTAAATTTAATCAAAGTAATAATTAATTATAGAACTTACAAAAAGATCGTATATTTTAACATATTCGTATAGGTTTTATTTAAGGCCACACCTTCTTCAACCCAAAAATACGGTAGAATAACCTTAGGAAAGTGTGATAGGCTCTCGACAGCGCCGACCGGTTCTAAATCCATATTGAACTGTAAACGCTTGCCGGCTTTAAAAGGTGTTCCCGTAAGCTATAGAAAAAAAAAAAAAATTCTTCTAAATTTTTAATAAACTTGAGTATATACGTAATATAAATCTAACCAATTCGAAGTAGATGTAAATGGCGTGATCA